CCCTCGATCGCCGAACCCGACTCCGGCGCGGGGCTGCCGGGGCTGCTGCGAAGACTCCGCGCAGCTCAGCCCGCCAGAAGCGCCGGCCCTCCTTGCATCTCGCGGGCGGCTGAAACGGAGAGAACCGGGGAGCCCGTCTGGCCTGTACTTCGCGTTTAAAGCAGAGTTCTTCAACCTTGGCGACTTTAAGGAGTGCGGACTTCAGCTCCCAGAATTCTGTGCTGGCCGGGGAATTCTGGGAGCTGAAGTCCACGCGTCTTAAAGTCGCCAAGTTCGAAAAACTCTGCTTTCAAAGTCCCAAGTCTTCCCCCTGAAATACCCACGCGCTTCACACACAAGAGCAAACTCTGGCTCCACCAATTTGTTGTGATGTTACGGCCCATTCACCAGGGCAGCCTCTGCTTTACAAGGTACGGGCCAGGAGAGCTTGCAAAATACGTGTAGGCCAAAAGGGGGTCAGGCTATTTGTGGTTCGGGATGGTATGGGAACCCGAATCAAATTGATCTTTATTATGGACCAGCATAATACACCTAGACGTCTTAGCAGGCTGTGTGAAGCTGGCCGCTACATTAAGTCTCAGTTGGGTGTATTTGTTTGGAAATCACAAGTTATATGGTAGGTACATAGCAATTCTGTTTTATCACTCCAGGTTTAGGGTTTAGTATATTGTGTGGTCACAGTTAATCTACGTTTACTGTGGAAGGAGGAGAAAGTATGCCTCTTGCTCACTTCAGAGCCACAAAGGAAGGTCAGCTCTTTGAGGCCCTCGTAAATAAATCACAGAGAGACTGAGATAGTTGATGGGGTGTGTCTGTGTTAGATTATTTATTCATTGTTATTGTTAAATTCCTCCCAATGAAACTGACTGTTTGCCTACCGGAGTAATATCAGGATCTCTGCTCTTTTCTAAAGAAAAGCTCTATGAGCAAGGTTGGAGCCAGTTAATATTTGGATGAGAGACCACTAGGTAATCTTGACAAGGTTAATGGGGAAGAAACTACTAGATACTGAGATAGCCGGGGTGGTATAGCGGTTAAGATGTTGAATGGGCACAACTGAGCCCCAAGTCCAGTTCCCCCTCCACCACAGTAACTCACTGATGTCTTTGGGCCATTTGCTCCATCTCAGCCCACCCTACCTCACAGGGTTGTTATGAGGAAACATGGGATGAGGGAACACTATATATGCTGCCGTAAGTGCCTGAAAAAAAGCAGGATATAAATCGAACAAATAAATAATACAGTATAGTAATACATTGACTTCCAAGCAAACATAGATGGCCCAGCTAGGAGGCAGCGGCCAAATCATTTATTAGCCTTTTGTTAATAAAATGGTAGCCAGGGTCGGGATAGGAGACCACCAAGAAATTCCACGGGGCTGGAAGCTAGACTGGGAAGTTGGGGGAGAAACGCCAGAAAGCAAGTAAGGGGAAGTGGCTTATTTGTGGCTCCCAAGAAATGGACCTGGGCGCAGCCGTGAGATCAGCAAACATCCTGCTTGAGGACGGCGTGTCTCAACCTCAGCCACGGGGCGTTGCAGTCCACCCCCCTTAACGTGGCCAAGGTTGAGAAACGCCGGCCTAGACAGGTGGGGAAAGGGCCCTTCGGTCAGCGGCGGGGCGCGCGTGCCACTGCTTGCGCGCTGAGCTCCGAGACCGGGCGGGCGAGGCCCTTCGGCGGAGCCCCACCTGGGCTGGTCGAGCAGGTTTGAAAGTCCAAGGGACGGGCGGAAAGCGGCGATTGCGCAGCGCCCAAACCCGCCGAGCTGCTACCTGGAGCCGCGAGTCGCGGGCGGGATCTTCTCGCCCGGCGTCTAACCCCACTCCGATCTCGCCCCGGCGTGAAACGTGAGCGTGGAAGGGGCGCCGGTAAGAGGGGGAGGCTGGGGCGTCCGCGGGCGATAGCTCGGTTTCCCGGGACAGATTTTCTCTCCAGCAGCCCTAACGCGGGTCCTCCCGCCACCGATCTCCTTTCCCCCGTTCCTGCCTCCGAAGCGCAGGCGGATCCTTCGCGGGGCTCAGCCGGTCGGGTTTCTTTCGCTCCCGGGCTCAGCGCGCGCGGCCACTCGCTCCAGCCAGCCCGGGTCCTCTTAGGGGGGGTCGTTCAGTCCAGAAAATTCCGTAGCCGAGTGAAGCGTGGGGTGTGAACCCAACTAAAACGCCTCGCCTGCCCTCCCCCCGTAACCCTGGTTGCTGCGGGCTGGTCCGGAGTGGGGATGAACTACTGCACCGGCAGGGCCTTTTATGGGGGCTTTCTCGAAATGCCATAAATTGGCTTGGCTGCCTACCGAGGTTAACATCTTTCTGTTTTTCTCTCTGGGTTCATGCATAAGGTGAACCAAAGATTTGTTTAAAAATTAACTACGCTGGCTTGTTTGCATGTCACACTAAGGCCAGAACGGAGTGCCTTACCGTATTTGTAGTTTGGCTGGATTCATCCTTCACATGGTTTGCTTAGCCATGATTAACAGAACAAGCCACAAATGCCTGGGTACGGACAGCATACTAATCCATGGGAAGCAAGCCACAATGGCTGGGCCCATGCGACATGCTCAAAACCAAATCCAAATAGACCGTATTACGGGTTAGCATAATAGATGAAGCCTATTGCTTCTGTGCGTACATGCACCGTCTTGCTCCGTGTAACACATACAGACCCACAGTTATGAAGTCTGGCAGCCTAAAGCAGCACTCAGCCCATCTAATCAAGGAAGTCCTAATTTATGGAAAAGTTGAACACAGTTCTACAGCAGAGAGTGTAGGAGGAGAGCTGTGTTAGCCTACAGTAGCAGAACATCACACCTGATCAAGTGAAATGCAGCTTGCAAAACTTCTGCTCTTTAACAAAATGTGTTATTTGGAGAAGGGGCTACGGCAGATTTTATGGCAAATTCTTTTTGATACCAAAATGAAAATCAGGGTCAAAACTGACCATTATCTGGTTGGGAGACTAAATTT